AGGCCTTAAACAGCACCTCCCTGATCAGCTAATCAAGATAACAACTGGGGAAATTAAACTGCTTTTGGATATTAGATAACAAGTGGGGAAATTAAACTGCTTTTGGATATTTTCTCCTATCTCTTCATGTGTGTTGAAGTTTCTTAAGATAGTTTGCCTTCCTTTTTCCTTCTCTTCAATGCAAAATGTGTGTCGCAAACCCACATTTCTCTGTTGTCTTGGGCACTGCTGATGGAGATGAGGTTGGCCAAGCTTGCTTTAGCTACCAGTCTTGATCCTGCCACATCCCTGGGTGGATTTTCCCTTCCAGATGCCCCAGGGATGAGGTGGAATGAAGGAGCTGAGCTCTGTGACTCCCCATATCCTTACCAGAAGCCCGGCAGTACGTCCACCTGGGATCCTCATCGTAATTGCTGCTCAAAGAGCACCACAGAAGCCCTGCAGATGACCCTTCGGTTGTGCAGGAGCTGTAGGTGTGACCCTTGTAGGTGAATGGGAAGACGCAAGGTCCCTTCGGGTCCGCGCTCAGCACTAGGAGCAGGATAGAAAAACATCAGTGCTGCAGATATTCAGCAGTGGTCAGGACAGGAAAGTTTTGCAAGGGGCATTGGCACTCACACATGTCGGAACAGTAGCTCCAGCGCTGGTCACGGTCATAGCTGTCTGTGGTGGCACACCAGAATCGCCCGTTTGAAGCGTTCTCGTTAGTGCAGGTGTAAAATGTCCGCTTTTTGTATATAAAGGGGAAATAGCAGGGCTGGCCACCTGAGCTGCCCCCATATTCTGTGGGGAGAGATAAAGACACAGTTAGGACAGTGCTGGGGGGCTTGGACTTCTATTTTTTTCCTCCTGGAGAACAGCCTTCCCTGGAGAGCTACTATCTTCAAAAGTCAAGGTAACTCCAGCAGTGCAGAGTCCATTTGGAGGCCTGGGATTAGCGCTGTCCCCCAGGGGTCAGTCCTTGGTCCAGTCCTGTTCAATTTATTCACCAATGACCTGGATGGAGACACAGAGTGCTCCCTCAGCAAGTTTGCTGATGATACCAAACTGGGGGGAATAGCCGATACCCCAGAGGGCTGCGCTGCCATCCAGAGGGACCTGGACAGACTGGACAACTGGGCGGTGAAAAACCTCATGCAATTCAACAAGGCCAAGCGCAAGGTCCTGCACCTGGGGAGGAATAACCCAGACACCAGTACAGGCTGGGGACCGAGCTTGTGG